TACAGTGATTTACTTGCATATATATATATATATATATATATATATATATATATATATATATATATTTATATATATATATATATATATATATATATATATATATAAATATACAGTATATATATATATATATATATATATATATATATATATATATATATATATATATATATATATATATATATATATATATATATATATATATATATATATACCGATCTGTATTGATGATGGATGGTGTTATATGTAGTGATGATGAATGGTGTTATATGTAGTGAATATGGGTGGTGTTATATGTAGTGATGATGGATGGTGTTATATGTAGTGATGATGGATATTGTTATATGTAGTGAATATGGGTGGTGTTATATGTAGTGATGATGGATATTGTTATATGTAGTGAATATGGGTGGTGTTATATGTAGTGATGATGGATAGTTTATATGTAGTGATGATGAATGGTGTTATATGTAGTGGTGGTGGTGGTGGTGACGGTGGTTTTGACAGTGGTAGTGGTGGTGATGGTGATACCGGCATATTTGCGGTGATAGTGGTGGTGGTAGAGACTGGTTGATATTAATGTTCATGATGGTGGTGGTAGTAGTGGTGGTAGTGATGATGGTGCTATATGTAGTGATGATGGATGGTGTTATATGTAGTGATGATAGGTGGATGTTATATGTTGTGATGATGGGTGGTGTTATATGTAGTGATGATGGATGTTGTTATATGTAGTGATGATAGGTGGAGTTATATGTAGTGATGATGGATGGTGTTATATGTAGTGATGATGGATGTAGTTATATGTAGTGATGATAGGTGGAGTTATATGTAGTGATGATGGATGGTGTTATATGTAGTGATGATGGATGGTGTTATATGTAGTGATGATGGATGTTGTTATATGTAGTGATGATAGGTGGTGTTATATGTAGTGATGATGGATGGTGTTATATGTAGTGATGATGGATGTTGTTATATGCCGTGATGATGGATGATGTTATATGTAGTGATGATGGGTGGTGTTATATGTTGTGATGATGGGTGGTGTTATATGTAGTGATGATGGAGGTTGTTATATGTAGTGATGATGGATGGTGTTTTATGTCGTGATAATGGATGGTGTTATATATAGTGATGATGGTTGGTGTTATATGTAGTGATGATGGAAGGTGTTTATGTAGTGATGATGGATGGTGTTATATATAGTGATGATGGATGTTGTTATATGTAGTGATGATGGATGGTGTTATATTTCGTGATGATGGATGGTGTTATATGTACTGATGATTGGTGGATGTTATATGTAGTGATGATGGGTGGTGTTACATGTAGTGATGCTGGATGTTCTTATATGTCGTGATGATGGATGGTGTTATATGTAGTGATGATGGGTGGATATTATTTATAGTGATGGATGGTGTTATATGTAGTGATGATGGAAGGTGTTATATGTAGTGATGATGGAAGGTGTTATATGTAGTGATGATGGAAGGTGTTATATGTAGTGATGATGGATGGTGTTATATGTCGTGCTGATGGATGGTGTTATATGTCGTGATGATGGATGGTGTTATATGTAGTGATGATAGGTGGATGTTATTTATAGTGAAGGATGGTGTTATATGTAGTGATGATGGAAGGTGTTATATGTAGTGATGATGAATGGTGTTATATGTAGTGATGATGGATGGTGTTATATGTAGTGATGATGGGTGGTGTGATATGTAGTGATGATGGATGGTGTTATATGTAGTGATGATGGATGATGTTATATGTAGTGATGATGGAAGGTGTTATATGTAGTGATGATGGAAGGTGTTATATGTAGTGATGCTGGATGTGTTATATGTAGTGATGATGGATGGTGTTATATGTCGTGCTGATGGATGGTGTTATATGTCGTGATGATGGATGGTGTTATATGTAGTGATGATGGGTGGATGTTATTTATAGTGAAGGATGGTGTTATATGTAGTGATGATGGAAGGTGTTATATGTAGTGATGATGGATGGTGTTATATGTAGTGATGATGGATGGTGTTATATGTAGTGATGATGGGTGGTGTTATATGTAGTGATGATGGATGTTGTTATATGTAGTGATGATGGATGGTGTTATATGTAATGATGATGGATGGTGTTATATGTAGTGATGATGGATGGTGTTGTATGTCGTGATGATGGATGATGTTATATGTAGTGATGATGGGTGGTGTTATATGTAGTGATGATGGGTGGTGTTATATGTAGTGAAGATGGATGTTGTTATATGTAGTGATGATGGGTGGTGTTATATGTAGTGATGATGGGTGGTGTTATATGTCGTGATGATGGATGATGTTATATGTAGTGATGATGGATGGTGTTATATGTAGTGATGATGGATGGTGTTATATGTAGTGATGATGGATGGTGTTATATGTCGTGATGAATGATGGTGTTATATGTAGTGATGATTGGTGGATGTTATATATAGTGATGGATGGTGTTATATATTGTGATGATGGATGGTGTTATATGTAGTGATGATGGATGGTGTTATATATAGTGATGATGGATGTTGTTATATGTAGTGATGATGGATGGTGTTATATGTCGTGATGAATGATGGTGTTATATGTAGTGATGATTGGTGGATGTTGTAGTGATAATGGATGGTGTTATATGTAGTGATGATGGATGATGTTATATGTAGTGATGATGGATGGTGT